GCTGGTGCTGACGGTCTCATGCTCCGGGGGTGAATCCATCACTTTCAAGAAGATATTTCTCCCCGCCTCCCCCGGTATCAAAAAGTATTCAGACCCTCCTATAAAACATATTGAAACTGGATTTGTTTTTAACTCAGTATATTATCTATAAAATCAAATTTTTTAATTGAAAGAAAATTCAATGAGTATCATTAAATACTTGTTAAACATCATTGAGCTCATACGCTTTTAAACATCCGGATCCTAAAATGATGGAGTTGATGACTCACCACAAGAAGATGCTCTCATGGATTCCAAACTGAGGGTGCGAGGAAGAGGAGGAGAGAGAGGCTGAAACTGAGAGATAGAAACCATCAATCAACACAACCATTCGCCGCTTAGAATCAAAAATAGACGCAAAGATCCTCGAAGAGCTATTTTTCTTTTAAAAAAAAGTTTCAATGACTTAATGCCATGAGCAAGACTAAACTTCAGATCGCTCAAAAGTTGCAATCATGCTGTTATCGAGTGGCTTACATAAGGTTTGAGTGCTCAATAATGAAAAATGTGCCGTTGAAGATCAAACAAAAACATATGGTATCCATATTTTTCAACAGTTTAATGAATAAGTAGATGTTACGTAGTTCACTTTTTAATGTTCCATAGGACTTTGACTATCTTTCATTTGGTACGATTTGACCGAACTATTCATACAAGTAGAAATACACATGGTTCACTGCATGGTACAGTGGTTCCTACAGATGCGGTCATATGACTTGTGCTTCGTGAACTCAATCCATTGTAAAAACAAAAATTAAAATTATTCCTCATGAAAACCAATTGCCGTACATAAAACCACTTTCATTCCAAAAGACTAAACAACAGGGAAGAACGACTTAAAATGTACGAAACTTAAGCATGAGTTTGTTTGACGAACAGTTTTCTGTAAGAAACAAAAGAAAAATCTGATATGACGAAATCTAGCAGAAAAATTGACACTAAGAAGCCAAATGAGAACTGCGTTTCCAGCTAGCGTTTATGTGTTCTTTATTGAGGGCTCAGAAGTTATATAAATTTTTGAGATAGTAGCTACTTGCTATAAAAAGCGTTTACTTACTTCGAACCTCAGGGATTCAACCCCTTCCCCAACCACAGAGTCCCTCCTTTGGTGTCATTTTATGACATCCATTTTAGGCCAAACAACCCAAACATTTTTCTGAAGGCGCCTTTGGCACCAATTTACATTCACTTAGAGGGGGAGCGCAAGACGAAACAACGCGTTGTTTTAGTCAAAATTTTCCGAAAAGTGCCCCAAAACGATTTTTTTGGCCCATTTTTTTTTCAAAAAGTTACCTGCGCCGCTATATCTTTTGTCAATATAGGGCCTTTATAGTGTTCTACGAGAGCTCGGAAAATCAATTTGGTTGACCAAAAAAAATTCGACAATTTGTTTGAAAAAATTTTGAAAATCCACCTCACCTCCCTCGAGAAAATCCTACATCTGCTCCTGATTGTAAGAAGAAAAAACTGGATAGAATGAATTTTTTGATTATGAATTTTTTTGGATGGAAGAAACCAAAAATTGATTATACTTTTTTTTAAAATGTAAACAATTTTGTGAATTGGCACAAATAATCGATTATATTGTCACACAGTTTCGTTAGAAAACTCACTAAAATTGACTTTGCTGTGATCAACACTGCGATTATGCAGTGTTGATTTAGTTTACCCGCTTTGATGTGTTAGGGCAAAATTCGATCCTAGTAAAATTTTAAGAAAATGTGCACGGGTTATTCGACTATAAATTCCGGTTTTAACAGTTGACATCAGTTTTAATCTACTATAATTAACGTTTTTTCTCTTTTCTACATCCACTTTTTCTCCAAAACGTTTCAATAATTCTAGTATTGTTTGCCTACAAAAAGTCAATACAGTTTGTCCAAATTATCAGAAATAATCCAAACAACAAAATCGTTCCAAACTGAATTGAGGCTAGCTAGTCGGTCGTAAGTATTTCGCACGACTCAAATTTTCACACTTGATCTTTGATTTTGTCCAAGTTTTATATTTTTCAATGTTTTTTCCAAAAACTATGAGCAGTCGGAACATTGAACGCTTTGCGTTGACATACGAGCAGTCCTATAATCCGTTACAATTGCTTACAATTCGTTATTGAGATCAACCGTACAATCTTCCCACCCCCCCCCCCCGTTACTGACCTACGGTAGACTGCCCTACTCAAGTATTAAGTCTCAAGAGGTTTTTCTGGATAAAAGGTGCTTTTCATAAAAAAAACTAATATAAAATTGTTTTGTACAATTTTTACGCAGGGTTGCAATTTTATGCTGTTAAAAACCTAGATAAATGTTTCATTTCAATTTTTTTTCAGTAAAACAATTAATTTCGAACCAATCTAGGCTATGCTCAAAAGCGGCTTTAAAAACCCACATTTTCTCCCCTCTAAACCAATTTGGAAAGGGGTGATTGACTGGTTGGTATTATTATTTTTATCAATTCAATTCAGTTTTTTTGTGCAAAAAATCCAGGAAAAATCAGGGAGTTCATCAGTTCAAAAAAATTTGTTTTTTTTGGCGATGTGAAATATTTACTATAAAGTTTAAAGCGTTTGGCTACAAAAGTATTACCCAAATGAGCACGTTCATCCCAGTGTACTCCCCTTCCCTAAAATTGGCATCGATTGAAAAAAAATTGAAAAGAACAGTTTTGTAGACAAAATCAACTGTAATTTTAATCATTTACTGTTTTTTATTCAACTTACATAAATACTTTAAACTGTCTTTCTTATTTCACAAGGCTCTCTCTCTTCTCTTTGCTCTCTCAAATCGCTATTAATTTAATTTTGAGGTTAATTCACTCTTTACCTGTTTCTTCTTATAATTGAAAGTAGGTAAAATTAGCTGTAACAAAAGAACATTTTGTCATAGCGCAGTTCAACTGTAACGAATCAAACGTTAGAGAATCACCTCCATTATGGCAGAGCATGCAGTAGATCCACCCATTTTGTGGAGAAAGTTGAGTGATTTCTTTCATCTAGCAGTGATCGCAAAAAAATTGTGGAGATTGAAACCTAGAAAGTCCAAAAAGAAACCTTCCACAACCTCTGTTCTTACAAAATCTGTAAAAATATTTCGTGAGCAGAGAGTGGATTCGACAATGAAGGTTTGCATCGATCAAGACAGAAAGGAAACGCTTGAACGGAATGCAGTTGGATGAAATGGACAAGCAATTACAATCGAAACTACAACTAGCTCTGGGAAATGACGACAATTAAGTTTTCCGACAAAAGTTCACTAGAATAAGAACTTTTCAGATTTTATTAAGTTTTGAGACCACTTGTCAACAGCCTACGCCAGGAAAAGGAAATTAAAATCAAAAAACAGCAATCGCTCAATCGAAATTCACGGAAGAGAGAATCGTTAAATCTGTTCTGTGGTGCTTAGTCGAAATGGCAAGAAACTGCGAAATATCTGAGGGAGAAGATGAGTGGATAAGACACATATTCACGAAAAAAATTGGCAATTTCTCAAATTCAAAGAAAACTTTTAATTGAAGCTCTAACTCTCCTTGAAGCATTAAATGTTAGACGCAGTGACGAGGAAGGAATTGTAAGTCTTCTGAAGTTGACAAACAGTTTTAAATTCGATTGATTGGTCTTCTTTATGGCAATCTTTTGTTCAATTAAACGCCAAAAAAATCTACTCTCAATATAGCAACAACTGTTTGAAATATGGCGGTACTTTTTCCAAGGGACAACTTGCAATTGACCCTGTTAAGGATTCAACCTGTACACCTGCGAAGGTCATGAAAAAAAATCCCTCGGGAAGGTTAACGTGCACAAAATGGGCATCATTGAAAGCTCTCAGAAACACATCCTTCACTTGTTAAAAGGTAGGAGCGTCCCCCTTCACCTACTAGATTCGGTAACAACAGAACTAAAAAGGCTTAAATCAGCTAGACAGATGCCTTAGCCTAATTGTCATCAATTGTAAACAGGACAAACGTATCAACATGGCATTAGACTCAAAAGTCATTAAGAAACAGAGATTCAAGAAAAAGTATCAAAAACTTTTTAAAAAAAAGTATCAAAGTTGGTCAAACATTTTGCAGCACAATAACTTCAAATAATTTCTTCGGAGAAGTCTGGTTTACAAACGTTGACGTGAAAAATGCTTACAACCAATTTTCATTAGATGATTTTGTCAGCAACCAAGGCAATTTTAGCGAAGTCTGATGCAAATCTGAACTGTATTTTACCTGCCAAATTTTACCGTTTTTTTTTACACACTCGACGTTATGCCAAATGTTTTTCAAAGAGTCATGGACTCACTTATTGGGATAATTTCTTTTACAAATTGTTATCTCGATGAAATCCTTAATGCATCCAAGGTAGGTTTTTCAAAAAACTAAGGAGCAGTCAAGAACATTTTATCTTTTTTGGCGCTACTAAACAATAGTCAATTTTTCAATGACCCGATACTCATACGGGAGCTTTCAAAAAAACAAGGCAAACAATTGTAAACAATTGAAAACACGCATTTTTACGTGAAATTCAAAACAAGAGTCAAAACAGATGCATCTCATAACGGACTCGGTGTGTCTCTCGGAAAAGTTTTCATGGGTTTTGTTGGAGGAATTTTCGTTTTGCACAAAGTTTTTTAAATTTTTCACAAAATATATTCTTTAGAAAAGTATAACATATCACAGAGCTTTTTTTCAGATTTTTCAGGAAATTATAGAAAAAAAGTTCATCCAAGTAAGCTAAAGAAATGGGTTGACTAACTTCTTCCCTTTAAATTAAAAAAAACTTTTTCACAAGAAAAATGGTTATGTTCACAGATTTGATTCCAAAAATCCATCTTTCAAAGCAATTTTATTCCACTTTGACGAAAAATTGTGGTATCAATAGTTGATAAAATGAATACGCAATTTATCCGAAAGTTTTCAAAAAAAATTACTGCGACGCGATTGGTTGAAGTTTGGAAAGTCCAGAATTTGCAAGCTCACGTAATTACCTAATAGCCTTGATTTTAAACTTGGTTAACTCGTCTCTTCCAATTAGATACTTAAAACACAATTGCACTAAAATTTGTCATTTTAAATGTATTCCACTGACAATGTTAAACTTTGATCAACAAAAAATTTTAATTCCAAAGTCAGCTTACTTTAACTCTTAATGGTACCTTAAATAACTCCCCTTCTTCAGGTATACAAAATGAAAATACTGCTAAAATTTAGTTATTCCTTCTACCTCCGGTATCCAAATTTCCATCCGTTTTTTGTCCTTCTATCAAAACATGAGAAACTGAACAAAAAATACCGTAAACTTTTGAAGTTTGATTTTTTCTCTGTTCAACATTGAAGCTTTTGCTCTCCTAAAAGAAGAAGATCTCATGCTGAGTGCCATAATCAAGGCACCTGAAAACAGAATACAGATGATAGAATCTGCAAAATTCGGATTTAGGGCGGCGAAAAGGATACTGTAATTCTAAAGAAGAACCAGTTTCCATTGGAAATTGGACATGAGTCAGGCTACCCTTGATCTTCAAAATCCTCCATCTCAAGCATTCTCTTCCAAAGTGTATTTAAAGGTAATTTACTTCGAAAAACAAAAGGAAGCTTTAAGGGAAA